GGGTGCAGGGGAGTGACCTGGTGGGGGGGGGAGATTCTTGTGACCATTGCACCGGGCTGGTTCACGCCCCCATGGCTGCACCCAGTGCCCAGCTCGGAGAGCGCAAGAGAGAGAGGGACGTGGTGTTCAGGCAGGGGCGTGAGTGCAAAAGACAGTGCAGGGGGAATCACACCCCCTATACACAAGCAGACCCACCTCTCCTTGTGCACCCTTGCCCGCTCCACACATTCAGGGGTATGAGGAAATGACAGGAGCATTCCCACACAGAAGACGAGGTGGCCGAGTGGTTAAGGCGATGGACTGCTAATCCATTGTGCTCTGCACGCGTGGGTTCGAATCCCACCCTCGTCGGGTTCTTTTTGGGATCATAAGAGAGATATCCGTGCACTGTTTTCTGAACACTATTTCCTGTGCAAAAAAGAGACATGGATGCATGGGGGTGTTTATGGATTTCGCAACTGCACCTGCTTTTCAACTTGGCTCCATTCATGCCCTGTAGTCTCCTCTCAGCTCCCATACTCCCCCTGAGGATAATGCTGGTAGAGGGGTGTGTGTTTGCAGAATCAGGGTGGATTTCAGGTGGGTGAAATAACATATTGGAACTCTTATAGCCCAGGGGCTGTCAATGGGGTGGCAGGCTGGGAACTGTATTAGACTTACCAATAAACTACCTTAGCAATATGAAAGCAAGGTAGCTTTTTGTAGCGGCAGGTAGGGCCAACCACTCCCACTTAGATGGGTGCAGACAGCAGGTGATTTGTCACTCTCTGGAGGGCTCAGTGGGAGACCCTTGAATGCGATAGGTGTGCTTTCTCATGGAGGGGATGGCAGAGAAGGAGGTAGCAATCTCCCCTCCCTAGGCAAGACTTGTTTCCCAGGGGAGGCTGCATGGCTGAAAGGCACAGCTTTTGGGGAAGGCTGCCCCCAGAAGCCAGAGCAATCTAATTAATGTGTGTCTACACTGCACCATAACGCTAAATAAGATATGCAATTTGCACTACTCAAATTGCGTATCTTATTTTGATGTTATTTCACGATAGCCTATTTAATCATTTGGCGCTGTCTATACAGCGCCAAATTTTTAAATAACCTGCTATTCCAAAATGTCCATTACTCCTCATGGAATGAAGTTTGTAGGGACATTGGAATAGCGAGCCCGAAATAACAGGCTTGCTGTTAAGACATGGGATAGCTATTTCGGGACACTCCAGTATCCTGAAATAGCACTGTAGTGTAGACGTAGCCTAAAGGTGTGTCTACACAGCACCCTAAACTCGAAATAAGATATGCAAATTGCGTATCTTATTTCAAATCTATTATTAAATAACTTATTTTGAAATTTGGCGCATCTACACCGTGCCAAATTTCAAAATAATGTGCTATTTCGAGCCATTCCTTATCCCTTGTGCAACGGGGTTTAACCCCTGAGTTTGAACCCCTGGATTTCATGTTTGACATCTGCTTAAAGCTGCATGCCCTGACTCCAGATGCACTTCTTAAATGCAACAGTTTGGGCAGCTTGCAGCTTTGCCTTTGGGGCAGGGAGTTTGTAAAAAGAGAGCAGATCCTTAGATCATCGTGAAAACATTGCCTGGTTTCTCCACTTAACAGATGGGGGGGAGGGAGGCGTGTTTAGGAATGACTGTTGTGCTACATTTGGATCACTGCTGTTAAACTTCTCATAAATGTTCTTGAAAAAGGGTTAAACCAGGGGTCAGCAACCTTTTCAAACCAAAGAGACAAACTACATCAAAATTCAGAACAAGTGGTCAAAAAAGAGCAGTATAAGAATGCTCATTTGCATGACTGAAAATATACAACTCAATATTATTAATAATTGACAATGATTAATAATAGCATAAATGAAACATTGTATTCACAGACTTTATTTAATGGGACTTCTGTTGCTGCATCTTTTTGCACATTTCTTTGAAGTTTACATCACAAATGGTCAAATTCAGATTCATGCAGGTATTCAAGCTGCATTAGTAATTACGCATTTTTTAAATTTTGAATTAATTCTTCATTTTAATTTAAAAAGTTGCATGCATTTTGGGAATGACAAAAAAGCCATATTTGGTTCCATATTGAGCCATACTTGGCTTGAGAGCCATACACTGCAGACCCCTGGAGTAAACAATGACTAATCCAAAGCTGACTGCAAATAGTTACAAAGGGATCTCACAAAACTGGGTGAGTGATTGGGCACACAAGGGCAGATGGAATTCAGTGTTGACAAGAGCAAAGTAATGTACATGGGAAATTATAATCCTAACTATAGATGCAAAAATGGTGGGGTCTAAAATAGCTGTTACCACTCAAGAAAGAGATCTTGGAATCCTTGTGGATAGTTTCCTGAAAACAGCCGCTCAATGTGCAGTGGCAGTCTAAACATTTAAAAACTAAGGGTATGTCTACACCATAACGCTAAATAAGATATGCAATTTGCACTACTCAAATTGCGTATCTTATTTTGATGTTATTTCACGATAGCCTATTTAATCATTTGGCGCTGTCTATACAGCGCCAAATTTTTAAATAACCTGCTATTCCAAAATGTCCATTACTCCTCATGGAATGAAGTTTGTAGGGACATTGGAATAGCGAGCCCGAAATAACAGGCTTGCTGTTAAGACATGGGATAGCTATTTCGGGACACTCCAGTATCCTGAAATAGCACTGTAGTGTAGACGTAGCCTAAAGGTGTGTCTACACAGCACCCTAAACTCGAAATAAGATATGCAAATTGCGTATCTTATTTCAAATCTATTATTAAATAACTTATTTTGAAATTTGGCGCATCTACACCGTGCCAAATTTCAAAATAATGTGCTATTTCGAGCCATTCCTTATCCCTTGTGCAACGGGGTTTAACCCCTGAGTTTGAACCCCTGGATTTCATGTTTGACATCTGCTTAAAGCTGCATGCCCTGACTCCAGATGCACTTCTTAAATGCAGACAAAATACCATATTGTCTCCATATAAAGTCATGGTATGCCCACATCTTGAATACCGTATGCAGATCTGGTCACCTCATCTAAAAAAAGACGTATTGGATTTAGAAAAGGTACATAAAGGGCAACAGAGATTATTAGGGGGTAAGGAACAGCTTCCATATGAGGAGAAATTAACAAGGCTGGGACTTTTCAGCTTGGAAAAGAAATGATCAACAGGTGGGAGGGATATGTTAGAAATCTAGAAAATCATGAATACTGTGGCAAAATAGAGTAAGGAAATGCTATTCATTCCTTTACTGACATAACACAAGAAGCTAACCCAATTAAATTTATAGACAGCAGATGTAAAATAAACAAAATAAATTATTTTTTCAAGGTCAACTTGTGGAGCTCTTTGCTAGGAGAAGGTGGACAGGCCCAAACTGTAACAGGGTTCCAATAAGAACAAAATAAGTTCAAGGAGGATAGGTCCATCAATGGCTGCTAGCCAGAATGGTCAGGGATGGTGTCCCTAGTGACTGTTTGCCAGAAACAGAGAATGGGTGATGGGAAGGATCATGATGATTGCCTTTTCTGTGTATTCCTTCTGAAGCACCTGTCATTGGGTGCTGTTGGAAGACAGGATTCCGGGCTAAAAGGACCTTTGGTCTGACCCAGTACGGCTATTCTGATGTTCCTATATAGAGCTGAAATGTATCCGCCCCCTTCATGTAATCCACTAGACCCCACTCTCCTTCCAGAGCTGACAGCGAGCCCAGGAGTCCTGGCAGGGTCTCTCTCTCTCCCCAGAGTTAGTAACAAAGTAAGAATATAGCATTAAAATGTTAATGCTAACCTGTGTCCCTTAAGTGACTTGCCACAAGATGTCAGAATATGTTAGTGTTAGAGCTGAGTGGGTCTAATATTTATTTAATTTTCTTTCTTTTATATAGGAGTTAGATATAGTGCTCCTGTCAGCTATCTGCTAACTTGTCTGCCAAAAAAAGCAGTGTTTTCCAGTGTCTTGGTAGCCCCTGGATAGAGATGGGCTGTGTCTAGACTGGCAAGTTTTTCCGCAAAAACAGCTGCTTTTGCGGAAAAACTTGCCAGCTGTCTACACTGCCCGCTTGAATTTCCGCAAGAACACTGACCATCTCATGTAAAAAATCAGTGCTTCTTGTGGAAATACTATGCTGCTCCCGTTCGGGCAAAAGTCCTTTTGCACAAAAGCTTTTGCGCAAAAGGGCCAGTGTAGACAGCTCAGATTTGTTTTGCTCAAAAAAGCCCCAATCGTGAAAATGGCGATCAGGGCTTTTTTGTAGAAAAGCGCGTCGAGATTGGCACAGATGCTTTTCCACAAAAAGTGCTTTTGTGGAAAAGCGTCCGTGCCAATCTAGACGCTCTTTTCCGCAAATGCTTTTAACGGAAAACTTTTCCGTTAAAAGCATTTGCAGAAAATCATGCCAGTCTAGACGTAGCCATGATGTGTGTGGGGAGAGGGAGAATGGGGTTGGTTCCCCACCTCTCCATTTGGTGCTTGGTTTGTACTGAGCTTGCTCAGTAACACTGCTGAAGCCGCTGTTCTCAGTCTGACTCCCATGCTCTCACTCTTTCTTCCCTCCCTCACAGCATGCACAAGTCAGCCCCCCACTACCAAAATCTGAAATGGCACCCCTGCATTCCTGGCCCTGAGTGAGCTGTGTCCATTGTCAGGTGGTACATATCTATAGTGGTTCAGTAGTGTCTACTAACAACTCTTATTATGCTTCATTTGACAATAAACCTGGCTGGTGCCTTCAATCCTTATCTGATTTTGTGGTCTTTGGGGCTCTCTCGGAGTCTGCTGTGTTGGTTATTTGTGAGAAACTGAATGGACTAAGCTCTCAAGTCTCTTGTTGCAGCATTTTTCCAGCCCTCAAGTGATTTGTGTGGCTCTTCTTTGCAACCTCTCCATTAGGTTGAAAAGCTGATTAGTACTTTGCACTTTGCACTTTGTCCCCAGTAATGTACTAACCGACGGTTATCAAGTCACTTCTCCTTTTTGGTAAAATAAACAGACGGAGCTTTTTAAGTCTCTCACTAATGAATTTTTACATCCTTGAGTGATGTAACTGGGTTGATCTAATTTTCTAGAGACCAGCCTTTAGCATAAACCAAGCCCAAGACACCAGCCAGCATCTGTAAAAGGGATCCCCAGAACCACCAGCCTGTCCAGCCGCAACCTGTCTCGCATTGTGGCTGATCTCTGAGGGCATGTGAACACCACAGCATTATTTCAAAATAACTCCCGTTATTTCAAAATAATGCACATTACACAGCAAGCATATTATTTTGAAATAATTGTGAAATAACAGGCTTCTTATTCCAAAATATGTAACCTTCATTTCATGAGGAATAATGCCTATTATAGGTTGGGTGAAAACAGCGCAGAGGTGCTTATTTTGAAATAAGTGGCCTCCAGAGCTTCTCATAGGTGTCCTAGTGGCCACACTCATCAGAGCTTCCTTTCCCCTGCAGCCTTTAAAGGTGCAGGCAGAAGGGAAAGGGCTTGTGGCATGAGGAAAGCCCTGCTAGTCCTGAAACATGCATCAGCATCCCGCTCCTCTCTCCCTGTTGCCATGAGTGATCTCTGTGCGCTCAACAAGCCACTGCTTATGCAAATGAAGCCCGGGAAATTCAAATCCCGGGCTTCATTTGCAAGTGCGGTATGCCTACATTACCCTCCTAGTTCGAACTAGCGGGGTAGTGTAGATATACCCTATGATATCATCTGGTGGGACTGTGTATGCATGGTGTTTGTGCATGTGGGTAATTGAAAAGCTTATGCAACTGTTGTTTTCTCAATAAATGCGGCATACTGCCTTTTCCCCTATAAAAGATCCCGCGTGCTTCGTTTAAGCATAACACGAGGGCCTGTGGAACCATAGGGCAGTACCCCTTCTAGTTGATGTAATCCGATGCCTGGTGGTTGGGGGCCTGGATGGGGGAAGTGGGTGCTGTCAGTGCCTGTAGCCAGACAGGAACCCCCCTTGTAACATCCATTTTTGCTTGCCTGGAGCATCCAGGGCACACAGAGCAGAAGGCCCAGGCTGTGTGACCGTGAATGGCTGTAAACAGAGATACGCCAATTGCTGACCAAGAGGCTGCCAAGGAGTGCCCTTGACTGAAACCCATATTGATACGAATACACATCCATCCACGGGGGGAGGAATCTTTCGCCTAGTAAAAAATGTCTAGTATTCACAATTTAGTTATCTCTCTTGCAAGTGTAAATTAACTTGAAACTTGCTTGTAAGAACTGGCGCCACAAAACGGACCAGTACAATTCAGCATCTTAGATAAGAAAGAGGATACGGGCCCCCAGGGGTATAAAGATGAGTCCAGCAGCGCATTTTCTCTGAGTGTCAATCTACCATCTATCTGCTGGTCGGGTTAGGTGTTTAATCTCCCGAGGTTCCAGAGGGGACATCCACCTCGTATTCGTCTTTCCTAAAAATTGAGAGACCGGCCCTGGCCTAACACGCTGAAGTCAAAAGGCACAAAAAGGGATAAAAATTGTACCTGAATGTGGTCCTTTGCTTAAGTATATATATACATAGTGTTAGAGCTCTTTAGAGATTAAGTTGTCACTTGGTACCATTATTTCTATTTTCTATCTTTACCTTTTTCCTGTAACCATTTTTTTAAGATCTATATATATATTTGCTAGCATTTAAGAAATAGAGCAATAGCCATTGATACATAGACTTAGAGCTCTTTAAAGATTAAGCTGTCACTTGGTACCATTATTTCTATTTTCTATCTTTATTTTCTTTGTAACCATTTTTAAAATCTGTATTTGTTAGCATTTAAGAAATAGAGCAATAGCCATTGTAACCATATGCTTTTATAAGTCTTTTAATAAACCTGTAACTGTTTAAGCTTTAACCTGACTCCTTCAGTTGCTGTAACAGAACCAAGCACAATTTAAAAGAACTTCAGCCGGTCATAAAAGGACAGACATAGGGAGAGCTTGGGCGTTTGGATCTGTGTCACTCCCAGGTGACAAGATCCGTTGGGACACCTTTTCAGCCTTTCCTAGGCTGCCCGCTGCGAAGGAACTTTGTGTTCTAGCAGCTAAAATCTAAGGTGTAATAAGCTCTTCCTATATAACAGGGCGTCTGTTGGCCTGCTGGCCACCCTCTGCGATGGGACCCCGGTCCTAGCAGTAAAGACACGGACATTAAACCTTTTCTCGGAAGCATACACACACACACTGCCCTGCCCGTCGGCTGACAGTGCCCCCCCCCCACACACAGTTGGAGAAGCTCATTGCGGCGAAGCCGGTGAGGATGGGGTCCACATCGCACAGGATGTCAACCCTGCACAGCAGGATGGTGTTGATGGCCCTCACCACCTGCAGGAGACAAGCAGGGAATCACAGGGTTGCACAGGCCCTTGGGAGTTCCCCAAGCCCAACTGTTCCCACACATCATGTCCTACCCCAATTTACCCCATCCCCTGGCATGCTTTGTGAAGGCTGGACTAACAACCCTTGCAGAGAGGGAGCTTCCACCCCCCTTCCCTAGGGAACCCCATCCCAGCAGTTACAACTGCTGCTGCATGACCACAGCCCCAGGGGTCACTCTCCCCATGTCAAACTGGTTCCTGATGGAGCAGTAGCTGTCCAGCGTGGTGAGCTTCCAAATAGTGATGGCGACCTGCTTCTGAAGGGAGATGGCAGGTGTGGCGGCAGGTTGGGGTTCCCCCGCCTCCTGCACCCCCGTAGTGGCACGAACAGACTCCACCAGCCAGTAGAATAGAGGGTGTTTATTGCTTCTCCAGGATACAGCACAGCATAGATGCAATCCGGTTACAGGGCAGGCCTAGGATGCCTCAGCCCCCCTAGAGATGGGGGAGACTGGGCCCCTAAATCCCAGCCCGTTGCTTTGGCTGCTTCCTCCATGATTCCAGACAGAGACCTCCAAATGTCCCTTCTAGCCCTGCCCCCCAGCTAGGGGCTGCACTCCGCCTTCCTTCCTTTGATCCTCTCTCTGGGAGGTAACCGGTCAAACAGGTTACCTCCCTGTCCCATCAGCTACTCTGCTGGGCCATAGTACAGACAGCAGCCCGTGGGGGTCACCCACAGCCCCAGCCTAGCAACCAGCAAAGTACCAACACTACATCACAGTGGGTCACACGTGGGTGTCTCCAGGGAGGTGTCCTTCCACATGTGGAAATTCTGGAGCCACTGCTGGTTGTCCCACTGTTCCATGGCGATGCGGTCCCACCAGTTGGAACTGGTGTCCCGTCGCCAGAAGCAGCGGTGCATGGTGTGCAGGGGAGGCTGTGAGGAGCTGTGCTGCATGAGCAGCACAGAAAGAGATGAGATGCCCCGCATGGAGAGGCAGGTCCTGTTCCAGCAGAGCCATGAGGGCAGCCTGCAGTAACTACACCAAGAGGTCCGGCTCTATGCCTGGAGTGCTGTGGTGTCTGCAAGGGCAACCAGAGCACGCAGTGAGATGAATTTGCTGTCCCTCAAGGAGGTAGGCAATGGAGAAGAGCCTGAGACAACTGTAGTGTATAGGGGGCCCTTTTAAGCATGAGTTCCAGGAAGTGAGTGCTGTCCTGATGCCCTGCCAGAATTGCTTCTGGGGGGATTTAAATGCGAGTCAGGCTCCAATGAGTGTGGATGCTCTATTTCGAAATAGCTCTGTGCAATTTCAAAATAAGCGTGTAGTGTAGATGTGCCCTGAGGCTACAGAGGAGGGACGTGGAGGATTATGCATCAGGGAAAAAACTCCTTTCCTGACACTTGCAGGTGATCAGCCAAACCCCAGAAGTAAGAGATTTGATTTGTCAGTGTCAGGCCTAGATCTAGGGAGCCGTGTGGGTGTCTGGGCTGTAGTCTGATTAGAGCTGACTAGGGACAGAACTGCTCCTTGGCAACTGGCTGCTAGGAGGAGGGATAAGCCCAGGGGTTAGCTAACCCTTCCACTAGATGGCGGGAGTGTATAATGTAAATAATTCACACTGAATAGCCCTGGATCTGCATGGCCCAGAGACACTTGCTCCTACCCAGTGTAGGGAGTAGAGGCAACAAGGGTACTGGGAGAAGGGGAAGCTTTTTACATATATAATGATACACGCACCCCTCTTCTCCCTGTAGTAACTTAGGCAAAACCAGCAGCTCTAATTCAATTTGACTCCCTAGCAAATCTGATCAGGATGGGGTGGAGGGTGAGATGGGGGCTGCTTACCCTTGGTTTCCCAGTTCCATGCCCCTCCCCATCCCCCATGACCAAAGCAGGGAGTTAACAGAGAGGCCAAGACAAATCCTTGTAGAAAACCCACATCACTTTTATTGAAAAAATAAACAAAACTCATTTAAGAGAGACCAAAGCAGCCAATGGAATTAAATAAACCAGTCACCCCAGCCCCACTCAGATGATAAAACTAAAGGGAAAATGCTTTGTTTTCATGGGGATTTCTAGAGCACCCACCAAGAGGGTATTTAAGAGGTCCACAAAATGAACTGCATACGTCCTGGTGCCCTGTGCAGAGCAGGGCAGTGCTAATTCTCCATTGTAGAGATGGGAACATTGAGGCACAGAGAGGCTAAGGGACATGCTCAAGGTCACAGAGGGAATCCAGGGCACAGCAGGGAACTAAACCCAGGTCTGCTGAGTCGCCAGACCTGCCTTTGGGGCCATCCTGGAGTTCCTGGTGGCATTTTGCTAGCAGCTGGGGAGGCCTACTGATGACTTTTAGGAGAAATCACTCTTGACTCAGAGGTCCAAGGTTTGTACGCAGAAAGGGGTGGATCTAAACAGGATAAAGTCCTACAGTGGAGAGAAGAACTTGGGGAGGGAAACAAAGGGGCAGAGGTTCTAGTGGAGAAATTAACCCTTTATGCACTAGAGAGTTAACAACAAAAGAGATTTCTTCCCTTTTTTGTGCGCTGCAGCAGGCAGTGCCCCAGGGTGCTGGTGGGAGGGGATGTGCCAGCCCTAGGGATGCCAATGGAGAGCTGGCTGCCAGCTCATAGGGACTTGGGCCAGCCAGGCTTGAGGGAAGGAAGCCCCTTATCCAGGCCCTGAGATTACTGTCCTTCAGCACCTTCCGGCACGGGACTCCAAAGTGCTGTACAAATGCTGACTAGGTCCATAGGGAAACGGAGTTACTGAATCATGTGACTGGTTCTCAGCCCCTTCCCAAGCCCAGCCTAGACCCCAAGAGTCCTGGCAGAGCTTGCTCCAACTACTGTTGCGCTCTCCAAGTGGGGGTTGTGAGGTTATTTTGTGGGGGAGTTGCAAGCTCTCAGCCTCCACCCCCCAAACCTCACGTCACCTCCAGCATTTATAATAGTGTTAAATACATTTTTAAAGTATTTTAATGTGTGTGGGGGGGTCTCGCACAGGGGCTCGTAGTGTAAAAGGGATCACCAGTACAAGAGTGTGAAAACCCCTAACCTAAAGCACACCAGGCACTGTACGGAACAGACATGATAGAGCTGACCCAAAAGAACTTACAATCAGTTGGTCAGCACCCTTTACATCAACTCTTTCTTCTCCCTCCCCACCCAGTCTATAGACATTCCTGTTGCTGCAATTCTTATAGAGTGGTGGAGCAGAAAGGGCTGGAGGGATGAGTCCTGGTGGGGTATCTGCCTTGCAGCGGGGTGGGGAGCAGCCGCAAGGCACTAATCTTTACACCCACCAAGCTGAGATGATGCCCATTGAAAGAAAAGGGGAAGTCAGGGGCGGTGGGAGGTACCAATCCCTCTCCTATGCAGAGCTCCGCATCCCACCAATCCTTTGCTGAGGTCCCCCCCAATTCACCACCCTATTCCAAGCACTCCAGTTTGATGGGGTGCACTCAGCCGTGCCCCTGGAGATGGTGGATGTCGCAGGAAGAGGAGGGGATGGATCTGAGGGGTCCTTACAGCAGGGCCTTGAGGAGAAAGGAGAGCCCTGCCCCGCACGACAACCCTACTGCCAGGAAGAAGGTCATGATGGCTCCAGCCAGCTCACTCTCCTTTGGCAAGCCCTGCCTATGGGGCAAGAGAGGAGAGTGGGGTGAGGTGGAAGGAGGGCAGTGCTGAGCTCTACCCCTCCACTCCACCTGCATGCAGAGAAACCCAGCACTGACATGCAGCCACTTCTCAGGGGGGGCTGAGAGCTGTAGACATCAGAGCCCCTCTCCCCTTGCCGAGATGCCACTCAGAGCACGCTGGAAGAGCACCTCCTACAGCTCCCCCCAACCCCCGCAGGGCACTGGGGCCAGTATGGATTGCATGGCGAGGGCGCCCTCGAGAGACTTCCCCACATTCCCCGGCAGTGCAGCACAGCGCCCGGATCAGGGCGCTCGGGCACTGCTTGGCGAGAGCGGCTCCTACGAGCGCCTGGCCCTGTCCAGCACTCACTTGGGGGCGAGGCACATGGTGAGCGAGACGAAGTAGCCATTGGAGAGGGAGAAGAGCAGCATGAAGATGATGAACCAGGCGTCCTGGCGGAAGAGCACGGGCAGGTGGGTGCGGGGCTCGGCCTGGCACAGCATCAGCAGGGGCACAAACAGGAAGCGCAGGCCCACCAGCAAGGGCAGCAGCCACAGCCTCTTCTCTGGCTGGAGAACAGCAAGACAGGGTGGTCGGAGTTGGGGAAAAGTCCTGAAATCATGGGCTAACTCCCCCTCCCCGACCCAGTGTAGGCTTGTGCCCCCCCATCTATTCCCCTCCGGGGCACACACCCCTCCAGGGGTCAGCGCAGAGCTTGGCGAGGCGCCGGCAGCCAGGCCCAGGCATGGCCCCCCCACTCACCCAAAGGCAGTAGGAGGTGGCGCTGCGGCCCAGCCAATCCATCACGTTGAACAACAGGAAGCAGCAGACAGGGGTGAAGAACTCACCTATGTAGGGAGGAAGGTTGGGGAACAGAACATGAGCTTTCACCTCCAGGGGGCGCCTGCTCCAGCCCCGGGGCATCAGGGATCACCCCTGTATCCAGTGCCAGGGATTCACACCAGGAGCCCTGGCTCCCAGCCCCCCACATTCAAATCATGAGACCCCCACTCCCTGTACTCACGCCATTGCCTGCTCTCCGAGGTGCTGGTGACGGTGGCAGTGATGGCAGGGAACACAGACAGGGTGACAGTGAAAACCATGACAATGCAGAATGCCAGAAGCCAGATCTGCAGGGGGGTGGGAAGACAGTCAGAGCCAACTGGGACCCACCTCGCACAGCCCCTTAATGAGATGCTGCTGTCTCCAGGGGGAAAGGCAGGGTCTGTTTACTTAAGGATCCCAGCACTGAGATGCAGCCACCTCTGGGATTGGGCCTGGGAACTGTTTATACAGGGAGCTGCTGCCTGGTGCTGAGATGCAGGGGTATTGAGGCTCTATATAGCGTACTGCAGTGACTTTTCTACCGCCCCCCTACCTTTTGGAGCACACTGAACACTGATGGTCTCTCAGGTCCTGGTCCCCCCTTCGGGGCACTGGTGGCTCTCCCACTGTGCAGAGCAGAGGCTCCCTTCCCGGAGCACTCCTGATCGATTTCCAACGTCTTGACTGTCCCATTGGCCATTTCTAGAATTGGCTTCTCTGGGCCCTGTGGCCCCTCCAACTGGTCCCCATTCTGCTCCTCTGGGGGGACAGGGAAGAGAGACAGTGAACAGGGATTCCACAGGCCTACAGCCAGCCTGGGCACATCCGGGGCTTGAACCCCACCCAGGGCCATGAGGGGGGGGGCCCAGGGCCTGCGTGCAAGGTGTCAGCCAGCACGTGGGCATGCAAGGAACCAGGGCAGGATGGGTGAGCACAGCACATGGGCATGGGCGGCCTTACCTACCCACCCTGTCCAGCAATGAGCCCTCCCCTGCAGTGGGGGCAGGGAGGTGTCCCCTGCAGCAAAGGGACACAATTCCCCAGGGCCTCACGTACCAGAGCTCAGAAGCCCAGCCTTGGTCTCCAACTCATTGCATGGGTCACGCTGGCAACTCCACTCCAGGTAGTGCTGGAAGAAGGCCTGCAGGGGGCGACAGGACAGGAGGGGTCTGTGGAAAGGGCACACATCTGACCCCAGAGCACCACACCCATGCCACTTCAATCCCCCCTTGCTAATATACCACCCCCAGGCTGCTAGACACGGTTCTGCCTCCAAACAGCGGCCCCAGCCCCAGCCTCCTCCCAGCTGGGGACACTGCTTTTATAGGCCCCTAACTCCCAGGGGCTTGGCAAAGACCTGCCCTCACACCTGCTGCGTCTCCTGCTGGCTTGGAGCCATCGCCCCCTAGAAGGGAAGTGCCTATGCCCCATTCCCTACCGCAGTGGTACCGCATCTCACCATTCGGGGCAGCATCAGGTAGCAGACAATGGAGATGAGGGTCCCAGCACAGGGGGTGATGAAGTAGCTCAGGGCAGACGTCTGGGCATTTGCGCCACCTGAAACAGCCAGCACAGCACATGGAGCCCATCCGGCACTATGGGGCGCTGACCCCAATGTCCTGGTGCAGCAGTGAGGGTGGGGAGAGGTGCTGCAGCAACAGGGGGACTCAGTTGGGGGCACTCACTCCATACAGTCAGTGCAGTGTTGGGAGGGGGCCACGCTGCACAGAGCAGGGTAGGGGCTGCGGGTGCCGAGGGGGAGCCCCATCATACTCACTAGCCATGGACAGCAGCATGGCACTGGGGGAG